TTGCTGGGAATATGGCTCAATTCCAAATCTCAGCCATAACCCTGATATTCCCTTAAATCCCACCCCATGCAAGATCACTTATGAAACAAGGACTAGTCCGCCTGATCTGTTAAGCTGGCAGTTTTCAAGGACCCAGTTTATCTTCAAGCAAATTTGTCTGGTTTGATAGATTCTGGGTTCACACATTATGAAAGCTCTAAACATTATCAGTGGTAGCTAGGTCTGAGGACTACACTCTATACTGCTACTCAACAAGGATGCTTGACATCCCATTTAAAAGATGCTTATCGCATGCTTTCTCCATGGTAGCACTTATTCTGGACTTTTCTTCCAACCAATACATGCCTAAACCAGTTTTTGCCCTTCTTAGCAAGCAGATAAAGTCTTAGGCAGATAAAGTCTTCTGCCCTTGGTATGTTCATTTTCCACCTTTCCATTTTGATTCTCTGGCCCCATATCTGCACAAACTTATTATCCCAAAATACAGATGTGCTTTTACACTTGCAAGACTGGATGTTTTGCCATCTGAGGTACTTGAGGGTCAATTCCAAAAGATCCCGCCTGAGAAATGTCTTTGCCTCTTTGGAGACGGTAGCATCGAAACAGTGGCACACGTCCTCCTGTCTTGCACTCTCTACAAAGACCTGAGGAACAAGATCATCACCCCACTCGTACTAACCATCCCAGGGCGCTCAACCACTGCCACAATGTCCTTTCTTCTATCAGATCAAAATGAGCAGAACCTAGCAAAGGTTGCTAGGTTCATAGCAGGGGCAATCAGAATAAGGGCCACTAACTGACTGTTGATTCAGGACTTTAAATTGTGCTCTTATATCAAATTTCCCTTTCTGTGTATACGGTAACGTTTTATTGTTGCTACGGCCATTGGCTAATGCAAATAAAGTTTTATCTATCTATCTATCTTAGGCAGGCTTTGGGGCTGACTGGCATTTTTATTCTTGCTTGATCACTCTGTTAAAACAAATCTTTTGTGGTGCTTTATTAAATAATAAGAATAATAATAATAATAATAAAATTTATTTATACCCTGCCCTCCCCAGCCAAGGCCAGGCTCAGGGCGGCTAACAACCAATAATAAAAACAAGTTGATTGAAATACAATTTAAAAAAACAAGATTAAAATACAACATTAAAACATTAAAACATTAAAATGCAGCCTCATTATATGGTGGGAATGCACAAGACACAGCAACTTTGCTGATTTAGATTGATCTCTCTGGATGGAAAGGGACGCAGGTGGCGCTGTGGATTAAACCACAGAGCCTAGGACTTGCCGATCAGAAGATCGGCGGTTCAAATCCCCGCGACGGGGTGAGCTCCCGTTGCTCGGTCCCTGCTCCTGCCAACCTAGCAGTTCGAAAGCACGTCAAAGTGCAAGTAGATAAATAGGTACTGCTCTGGCGGGAAGGTAAACGGTGTTTCCGTGCACTGCTCTGGTTTGCCAGAAGCGGCTTAGTCATGCTGGCCACATGACCCGGAAGCTGTACGCTGGCTCCCTCAGCCAATAAAGCGAGATGAGCGCCGCAACCCCAGAGTCAGTCACGACTGGATCTAATGGTCAGGGGTCCCTTTAACTTTACCTCTGGATGGAAGACATCCCCCCCCCCCCACTGGAAGCCTTTATAGGCTACTTCAGATTTCACACAAGAAAGGTAAGATATGAATTATGCTGCTCCTTGCTTGCTCTCTGTAGCATCATCTTCTCCAAGTGGAGTCTGCTCACACTGAGATCTTAATTTGAGGCTCTTCTTCAGAGCCTCTGAAGGTTGGCATCTTTAGGGTGATGCCCAGTGTATGGGAATCATCCTTCAGCGAGGCTTGTCTGGTGCATTGTTGTTGCAGCAGCTATCATTTAAGTGCAATTTTTATTTGCAAATAAAACTTTGTACTCTAATGTCTTGTTGGCACCTTTTTACTTCACCCAGGCCCCTTTAAATCCATTTTATATGTAGTTATTTGTAAAGGGAATCCTTGTATGAGTTTATACTTTGATGATCCCTCAGGAGCCCCTGCCACTTCCAGGTTAGGCATAAGAGCCATTTTTCTTCCTCCTGCAATAGGGCTGCTTTCTGCGGTACTGGAATTTGAATAGATATAAACGGGGTTAGATACTGAGTCGTACACACCATTCTGTCACTGCCTTGCTCCAAGTCTTAGAACCTTTCTGCTCTAGGACTCCTGATCTCATTCTGCCTCCTGTCATTCTGCATTGAAATATTCTCTTCCCCTCTGCCATAAAAAAACCCCAACAACATTTTGTCCTCATTTTCCAGTGGTATCTCATGTTCCATTCCCCTGTCTGGAGCTTAGTGTCAACTGACATTATGGATGAATAATACAACAAACTTAAACCAGGGCCTCTGGCAGAAGCACAACTTTCCAAGGCAGGCAGGAATGATCACATACCATAAATTTTAAAAATGAAATGTGTAAGATTGAACAGACTTCACCAATCAAGCCTTGCGTTCTTGCCAAAGACTATTTGAAAGTATTAAGTGCATTATTGAACATCTTGTCATACCTACGTACAATGTACCACTCTCCAGTCAAGATTTACTGGGCGTAAAAAGACGAGGAGTCATTTGTTTTTATAATTTCTGGTATTCGTAATGGGTTCTTTATAGACTTGAAAGATACATTTCTCAGTTGGAACTTGGGATGTTAACAGTGCTTTCCACCAAGATGTATATGACCAAAAAAAAGTTTCTTTTGCTGTCAGGGGTTCAGGGAGAGAGGCACAGGGTAGGCAGGAGATGGAGAGCGATGGGGAGGAATCCCAAGCCAGCGAGGAAGAGGATGACAATGACTCAAGAGATTCCATGAGTCTTTCCAGCGAATCAGAGGATTCCCAGAAGGGGGCGCCGGTGGTCAAGGCCAGGGGGGACGTGTCAGGAGCAGGGGCCAGCGGAGGATCCCAAAGTGGCAGCTGGGCGTCAGGACCAGCCTCCCCACCAGAGTGCAGCGAAGGGGTGGAGTTTCCAGTGTGTCAGGGCAAGCGGCCCCGGCAGCAGAGAACGGAGGGAGGGCAGAGCAAGCCGCCCTCCCGGAAGGGGCGGGGAGCAGTGAAGGGAGTAGTGTAACTGTCAAAAGGAAAGTTAGAGGTTTGGGGCGCGCGCCAAGTTCAAATGTAGAGGCGCGCGGAAGTACAGGGAGCCCGGAGGAGGGGCCAGGTCCCAAAGCCCGCAGGAGGGGGGGAAGAGCAGTCTGATTCCGCGTCAGAGGAATCCAGGAGGGGCGAAACCCCAGCGGGCAGAAGGACCCTGCGGAAAGGAAGGAGAGAAAGAGGTGGAGCAGCGCAAGCCTCTTAAATTGGTGCAGGGGAGGGACGGATTCAGAGGGGACTTCAGCGGTCTAAGCGTAGCAGACGTAAGGCTGCGCGCCTAGGATGTCAAGCAAACAATGAACTGCAATAAACACTTTCGTATATAAGAAGACATAGGCGTTGGTCTTTTGTGAGCTGAGACTTGAGGCAGCCTTGACATTTGCCAACAAAAAGACAGGTAACAACATCCTCTTGATAACAGCAGCCAATTTACAGAAAATCTTATCCAAAGAACACATAATGCACTATGAGAAATTACAAAATATGGGGTCCTGTGATCCAGGAGGGGCAAATGGGGAAATCCTCACACAGGGCTTAGGGAAAGTGAAAGAAAGCACAAAGGGATATACAGTGGTACCTCGAGTTACAAACGTCTCAGGTTACAAATGCTTCAGGTTACAAACTCCGCTAACCTGGAATAGTTACCTTGAGTTGAGAACTTTGCCCCAGGATGAGAAGGGAAATCGTGTGCTGGCAGTGCAGCAGTAGCAAGAGGCCCCATTAGTGAAAGCACACCTCTAGTTAAGAACAGTTTCAGGTTAAGAACGGACCTCCGGAACGAATTAAGTTCGTAACTAGAGATACCACTCTAGCTGAAATATTCAGAATGAACAATGAAATGTTTTTTCACAGATCTCTAATCATAAGAAAGGAAGTGGGGACTGTTTGAAAAAAAACAAGTATGTTTTCTGTGTACTATCTGAACAAATGGAGGCCATAATCAGAGTGATAAAAGCAACAGCTCCCAGCAGAATAACTAAAGGAGTTGGCCACAGCTGCCTAGATATGCTTAACAGCTCACTGAGTCAGCAGATCCCCTGTGAAATCATTTCCTCAAGTAGCTGCTTCTTCAAGCCAAAACAGAGAGAGGACAAAGTGGCCACCTTCCCTTTTCAGCTGATTTGATGCATTTGTAGCAGCTGTTCAGTCCAAACATTCCTGGGAAAGGAAGAAAAGCAAACCAGTCAACCACTCTTTCAGCGCTTAGGCCAGGGGTCGGCAACCTAAGGCCCATGGGCCACAAGCAGCCCATAGGGGTTGTTTAACCGGCCCACAAGCTGCCCCCAAACCAAGCCGCCCGCTTGGCGTATCCCCATGCACTGCACTAAAGTGGCACAGCGTGGTGCGGGGACTCGCTTCTGTGGCGCCAGAAATCACGTCTGCGCAGGCACAGATGCCAGAAATCACAGGCGGGCGCATGATCCGGCCCACTGAGGGATCTCTGCTGGAGTGAACTGGCCCAGGCGAGGTAAACCTTCCCAACCTCTGGCTTAGGCGGCCCCCATCCAGATGTGCAATGAATATGAGGGTGAGGTGGGATCATTTGTCAGTGTTATGTACTGAGTTGAATAGGATCCAAAATGCAGCAGTCTGATTGGTCCTAGAACAATAGGATTCAGAATGCAGCAGCCTGATTGGTCCTAGAACAATGCAGCAGCATGATTGGTCTGCAGGAACCACCCAATCCAGCTCCAGGTGGAAGTGAATCCGCAACCTGATTGGCCTACAGGAGAATCCCGGAATTAGCCAATCACGTGTGGCCCATTGTGTAAATAATGTATATAAAGCAGATATTGTGGGGGAACCTTCATTCCTCGATACTATGAGCTGAATAAAGAGCATGAAATCCACACTCAACTCCGAGTATATTTCAGTCAGTCTCTTTGATAGCTCAGTAAGTAGGGCATGAGACTCTTAATCTCAGGGTTGTGGGTTTGAGCCCCACGTAGGGCAAAAGAATCCTGCGTTGCAGAGAGTTGGACTAGATAACCCTCGCGGTTCCTTCCACCTCTACAATTCTATGATTCTTGCCTGGAAAGGGCCACACCAGTCTTCTCACTTGGGCACCATAGAAACCCAGAGTCAGCCCAGTGAAGCTGCACAAACACGACCATCTCCCAGCGTAGCATCCGTGCAGCGCTGTACCTAAAAATGCTTAGTTTTCAAAACAGTGGCTCATAGGACTGGACTATTAGGCATCTTTGAGCACAAAGCTGCCCTTGTTATATAATTGCAATGATTCTCCCATGAAGCTTAAAGGGAGCAGAGGATGTCTGCCAGCTCTCTGTGTGAGCATTCTTCACTTTTGCCCATCCTGCCCTTTACAGGGAAACACAGGTCATATTCTTGACATCAGCTTTGCTAGCTGCATCGAAGTCTCAGTTACAGATAGCTGCGGATCCTGTTCTTCCCGTACCCTCCAGATTCCCTTCCAGCAATTGTAACTTATACTGCTAACTGTTGTGTTAACAGCAAAGTGTAATTGTAGATGCTATGGTTCTTGAGTCACACAGAAGCTTACAGGCAGCTGGAGCTTTAGGCTAGAAGATGTAGCTGACTTCTGTTTTTCTTTTCTTTTTTCTGGCAGGGAGATTTGCCTCCTTTTGCAATTACATAATGACTTCACAGCGCTCTCAAGGGGATAACGACCTGCCATCTCTCCCCATGCAAATGCAGTTGATTTGATTTCTCTTAAAACAAATATTTACTCAAGTCCATTGCTTTTCAATCTGGATTTATATGTCTTTTTAATTGACATGTAAAGTCTAGGCTGATTTTAAGAACACAGAATGTAGATAAAAGTAATACAAATGGGTAGTGGTGATTGCTGAGAAACACAGGTTGCAGGAAGAGTCTTGGGAAAGATGCTGTGCTGTGCACTACAGGCCAAGGGCATGCTGTGAAGGCACATAGTTCAGTTGGTAGAGTATTAGATGCTTAATTCAGGGTCATGAGTTTGAGCCCCATGATGGGCAAAGGATTCCTGCATTGCAGGGGGTTGGACTAGATGACCCTCGTGGTCCCTTCCAATTCTACAGTCCTATGATTCTATAATGCAGCAACCTTGCTGAAGCTAAGTAGGTCTGGCTTTGGGAAGTGCTTGGATGTGAGATTATGTGTGTCACCTAAAAAGGTAAAGGGACCCCTGACCATTAGGTCCAGTCGTGACCGACTCTGGGGTTGCGGCGCTCATCTTGCTTTATTGGCCGAGGGAGCCGGTGTACAGCTTCCGGGTCATGTGGCCAGCATGACTAAGCTGCTTCTGGCAAACCAGAGCAGCGCACGGAAACGCCGTTTACCTTCCCGCCGGAGTGGTACCTATTTATCTACTTGCACTTTGACGTGCTTTCGAATTGCTAGGTTGGCAGGAGCAGGGACCGAACAATGGGAGCTCACCCCGTTCATGGGGATTTGAACCGCCGACCTTCTGATCGGCAAGTCCTAGGCTCTGTGGTTTAAGCCACAGCGCCACCCACGTCCCCTGATGTGCGTCACCTAGAGGACTGCAAAGAAAAGGTAGGATACGAATAAAATCTGTTTCACTCCCTTGGCCTTTACGTACTGCTTCCATACTTTTAGAGATAAAAAGGTCCGGGAGCAAACCAGGAAAAATGGGGAGGGGGAGTTTTGCCCTTCTCCTCATTTGTCTGTTTTTATTTCTGGGCATTTTCATATTCCTTACTACTATCCCATCCCCCCCCCCCACCATTCTGCCACTAAATTGCTCCCTGCACAAAACATGCAGCAAGTTTTAAAATCCAACTCAAAACCAAGCATGCCAGAAACATGCTTCCAGTCCCTGTTTCTTTGGGCTCACAATCTGCTGTCCTTTTTGGCCTTGGTGTACACAGTGGTGGAAAGGAGAACTTAAAAGAGGCCTGCAGAAGTCCTTCTGAAACTGTGCGTGCAATATAATAATGGCTGTCACTAAAATTTTAAAACATTAAAGAAAACCCTTCCCCTTTTAAGCAAAAAAGGCCTATTCCCTTTCATTTGGTGGCTTGGCACAGGTCTGCCATGTGACCGTACTAGGACACATCAGTAGGCATTGCATGACATGATGGGAGGCAACCTAACTGAATCTGACACAATGTCACTTTGATACACTGGGGAGATGTATATTATTAGCATGTTAGGAACTGCTGCAGTAACTAAAATATCCCATTACCTGAGGTTTGCCTAGTTCCTCCAGCCTCCATATGAAAATGCTCGTATTTAGGAGGAATTCTGCTCCTCTTCAAACCTGCCCCAGAATAAACTCTCTTGTTTTGGGGAGCCTTTTGCTGTCTTTCCACTGAAAAACATCTTTGGCTGTGTGGCTAAAATACAAACTAAGCTGATCCACTTGAAGAAGGCAAATAATTCAATTAGATCATTCAATTAATAAATAAGCAATAAGGCTGGAAAAATGCAGTGGTGAATGTGAAAGCACAACAAAGCAGGCTCTAGCCTAGTTGCAGCTTGCCAAGTCCTTCCCGTTGAATTAGAGAGTTGTCATCCAGCACAGAGTCATATTTAAGTCTGTTTGCTGCTTAAACTGGAGCTGTGCTGATTAGTGGTTGTTGCGAAGGTCAAATTACTGCAGAACTCCCTCGGTGTAACAACATTGAAAGAAAGTGCTAGGTGCGCGGCGGATGGGACAGATAAATAAAAACAAGGCTGCACCAAAAGTCGTAATCCCCTCCATCTGAAGTCAATAATTACTCCCATTGATGTCACCAGATGGCAGGATTCCGCCCTGCAGTCAGAAGAAAGCGAAAAATCGTTCTTTCCCACTCCCATTTACCAGTATATATTTGTTTTAGAGTAAAGAGATAAATTGTCAAAAGAAGAGTTTGCGTTCCATGGCTTATCCGTAGAGAGGTCACTATAATTTTTCATGTGTTACACCAAATGTTACACCTAACTCTAATCAAAGGAAAGAGAGAGAGAGAGAGAACTGGTCTCCTTGCTCAACAAATACTCTGTTTCTTATTTATTAAATTAGCAATATACCACTTAGCCGCAATTGGCTCTATTGTGTGGTTTGATATTCTGCTTTTCTGTAGAAACAAAGTATCTTACAAAGACGAATGAAAAACACATGCCAGCAACTTGATTTATTTTATGTATTTAAAATATGTTAATACTATTCTTAAGGGGAGGCAACCCCTCCCAAGTTAATGGACAACTACAGTACAGTACAAGAATAAAATAATTAAAAGCCAGTAAAAATGAGCCCACAGGTGTGTACCAGCCGAATCACAGCAGAGTTCAGTTAAAAGAACCTCCTGTTCATGGAAGGGAAGCAGCAATTTTTGCTTTTCCTCTGACAGTGCTGCTAACTCTAGGGGGCCCTGGGTGCCAGGGCACCCACAATTTGTTTATTTTTTGTGGGTGCTCAGCAGCCGCACCATGGGTCTCTGACGCAACTACTGGTTTCTACCAAAAAAAGTTGCACCAGAGTCTGAGGCTCTGCGAAGCCTCGGAAGCGACTTCTGGTAGAAACTGGAAGCCGCAACAAAGGTCTCATGAGGTCTTCAACATGACCTCTAGTTCTTAAAAACACACGCGCACACACATATCATTAAATGAATAATAAGAAATATAATTTCCAGATTTGTAGCTATATTTGTCTGTTTCAGCAGAAACAACAGTCTTCCCAGTCTTTAAGGTGCCATGAGACTCTTTCAAGAAGCTTCAGTTTTAGCAGAGGAAAGGATGACCTCAGAAGAGCTCTGTTTAATGTTGAAAAATATTCAAAAGTTCTCAATTGTCACACAAGATTCATTTGCACTAAATTTTAGAAAAAAGATAAAAATTGCACTAACTCTCCTTTCAGGTAGGTAGCTGTGTTGGTCTGCCATAGTCGAAACAAAATAAAAAAAAAATTCCTTCCAGTAGCACCTTAAAGGTAAAGGTACCCCTGCCCGTACGGGCCAGTCGTGTCTGACTCTAGGGTTGCGTGCTCATCTCGCTCTAGAGGCCGTGAGCCAGCGCCGTCCGAAGACTCTTCCGGGTCACGTGGCCAGCGTGACGAAGCTGCAGCTGGCGAGCCAGCACCAGCGCAGCACATGGAAACGCCGTTTACCTTCCCACTATAAAGCGGTCCCTATTTATCTACTTGCACTTAAGAGTGCTTTCGAACTGCTAGGTGGGCAGGAGCTGGGACCGAACGACGGGAGCTCACCCCGCCGCGGGGATTCGAACCGCCGACCATACAATCGGCAAGTCCTAGGCACTGAGGTTTTACCCACAGTGCCACCTGCGTCCCATAGTAGCACCTTAGAGACCAACTAAGTTTGTTATTGGTATGAGCTTTCGTGTGCATGCACACTTCTTCAGATACTCTGAAACAGAAGTTTCAGTGGACTTCTGTTTCAGTGTATCTGAAACAGTGTATTCAGTGGACTTGTATCTGAAAAAGTGTGCATGCACACGAAAGCTCATACCAATAATAAATTTAGTTGGTCTCTAAGGTGCTACTGGAAGGAATTTTTTATTTTGTTTTTACTCTCCTTTGTTTCGCCTTTATACAGCAAGACAGTTTACTCATCATGACAGAATTTAACATATATGGGGAAAGGCATGCATAAAATCCCAGAATCTTCCAAGTTGGACTGGGAAAGACCCCAGAAGAATAACTATCTGTAGATGTAGACAGTATTGAACTAAGGCCAGCCAATAGCCCTCTGATATGGTGTTCTATTCTCTTAAGACCTTTAATCATAGGACTTCTTTCTTTTCCATTAAGTTGCATAAACCAATCTAGATTATAAGCAGCGCTGTCTTTAGCATATGCGCCGCCGGGGTGCAAAGATCCGCCCAGTGTCCCCAAACTTAGTTTAGCGCCCAAATTAACTTTTATTATGCTTATGTCAGACACCACACTTACGCCTTATCTCTTTATGTAAAAGAAACAAACTTTTTTATTTGCTCATTTATTTACAATACACTTATACTTAAGAATACAACACCACCACACTTAAACTTATAAGTATTGTTTAGGCACCTACTTAAGAGAAACTTCAGTTGCGTCAAAGGTGCCTCTGACCCTGCTGCCGCATAGCAGCTCAATACAAAACGTAACATAATATTTTAATGTTAGAGTTAATTTCGTGTGCACGGCACTATTGTGAATGACAAGCGCCATTGTTGAGTCTGACAAGTGCCGCCATTGTGAAGGACAAGCGCCGTGCTGCCGCTGGTAAATGAGCGCACAATGTCGAACGTCCTTTAGTGAAACAGTAGGTATACATTTCGGTAATACCTAGGTATATATGTATTTTGTTTTTCTAGCTTGATCAAAATTATTTATTATTTCATAACAGGTAGATAGTTAACAGCCTAGGCAGCTTCAGCAGTGGGCGCCTGGTGCCCCCAAGAATTCTGTGCCCGGGTGCCCCGCACCCCTTGCACCCTCGGGTAAAGATGGCCCTGATGATAAGTGGCACTTCTTTAGGAATAATAAAAAAGCATCATTCTTTTGAACATCTGCAGGCACAAACAGGAAGGCACAAACAGTTTAGTCCCTAATTACCTTTTATGATCAGTGAAATGAGGTGAATAATACGCCAGACTGTAAGATAATTATAAGGCACCCTGAGTGCCATATAAACAGAAGGATGCGTTGCAAAGAAGTATTTCTCACACATTCCTAGGTGAAAGATCTGTATTTTTGTTTATTAGCTTTAAGCTGTAAATTAGGTGTTTTTTAAGATTAAGGTTGGACCAATTCATTAAAAAAACTATTGTGATATCTATCATGGATGGTCATTAATTCATTCCTTCATTTGTTTGGTAAGCAGTTAGTTATTTTTACCAAAATAGACCTCAAAGCTCATGGTACCATTTGGAGGCAGGAATGGTTTCTTTAAGCTTGGTGAGGCACAGCAGGAACAGGAGTACGGAAAGCAAATTCATTTATTCCGAATCACCAAGGAAGAACCTCAAAGGAGCTGTAGAAAAGTGGCAGAGCAGATTTAATCTTTAGCATCTTCAACTGAAGAGTTTTGGGTAACAGGGACGAGCAAGATCTCAGTCCCGAGACCTTGGGGTGCTGCTGCTAGCAAATATCCAAGCTGGCCAGCTAATTCAGTTGATCAGAGCATCATGCCAATAACATCGAAGCTACAGGTTTGAGCTCCTCGGGTAGGTGGCAGAATCTTCCTCTTATAGTCTGAAAGTATTGTAAGTCGGTTAAGTAGCGTTGCATGCAGAATTCAATCCACAGGAAAAGGAATCTGTGTGAGCCCTGGAGAGCCACTTCCAGTCATTGAAAACAACACTGAGTGAGAGAGTCCAATGGTTTGATTTTGTATTAGTTAGTTTCTTTCCCATTAAAAGCCCAGGTGGATCAGACCAAAGGCCCATCTTCCTGTTCAGCTTCCTGTTTCCACAGGCCAGGGAAGGTAGATTTGGGCCACATGCAAGATATTCTCCAGAAAAGGTGTGTGGATCTGCTTCCAACAAGGTGCTCTCCTAATAAGGGATATATCTCATATACACAGGAAGGGTAGAAAATATGATCATTATTGGGTAACTGTTGGGTGATAACGCCAAGGCCGGTGCCACTCCCACCCCCCAATGGAGCATCGCCCGGGATTCATCCCCTGGTCTCCCATCAAACTGATGTGACCCACATCCAAGGACATGAGCACACAACTAGCAGAGTCCAAACGCTATATGGAACTGGTGGAAATGACTGGTGGAATCCGAGACCAGGGAGAAGAGTCGGTGGGAGAAGATTGGAAGAAATTTAAAGTTTATTTACAGAAACATTGTAAAATTAAGGAATGTTAGATGGATGTTGGAATGAAGTAATGTGGTTTTAGCAGAAATGCTATAGAGGATTAAGAAAAAGCAGATTCTTAAATGGTGAAAGGAGGGAAAGTTACATTATATTAAGATAAAATATAGGACAAAAACTGGAAAAGGTGGAAAGGATTTGCTGAAATAGCTAACTGAACTAGAATACAAAAAAGGGAGGTGTGAGGAGGTCAAGGAAATAAGTAAATGAAAGATAAGTTATGGGAAGATTCATTGCATTTTTTATTTTTTTTGTTATTGTTGTTTTTTTGTTGTTTTTTCTTACTTTTTTTTCTTCTTTTCTGTATTGTGATGTGATGTTCTGTTTTTGCTTAATATGCTGTTTTCTATTTTTCCTTTTTGTAACCTTTCAAATCTTAATAAATATTATTTTTTTTAAAAAAAAGCAGAGTCCAAACGGACGCTCAGCCTTGAGAAGTAACACCTAAGCCTAATTTATAGCAAATTAAATCAAACGTAACAGAACAAAGAGCAAAGAAGAACATGGCTTCTCTCTGTGTCTTTCTTTCTTGGAGAGAGAACTGCAAAAACAATAGCTATACAGAGCGGAAACAGTGTATCTCCCTTTCCACTCACAAGACTCCAATAATCAGTGCTGGGATGTAAACAGACATGGGACATGTAACAACCCCACACATCTGCAGCACAGGAGGAATGGAATTCTCAGCAGCCATATGTGACCTTTTCATTGAATTTCTCAAATGAAAAATTTGGGCTCTATGGTTGTCTCACTGTTATTGCACATCCTTCCCCAAACCTGGAAGATAGAATCCCAAATCTCAGACTTAATAAAGGTTGATTATGATTACCCTGGTGTGATGAACTCTGCACATGAGCAGAGATTATTACTTCACACCTTCAGGACTGAGTCATGCATTGTAAATGTGCTCTGACATGCCCCAGCTCAAAGGAAACAATCGCTTTTTGTCTATTCATTGGTTGGAATACTTTGTTCTTTTAATTTAGAGATTTGTCGTTTCATTATGAATGTTGTATTTCATCACAGATAAAATACACTGGAAGATTTGGACAGGTCTGCATACCATAATAATATCTATCCAGCTTTTACAACAATGCATAAAACTGATTTCCCCCCTTAGGAATAGTCAGTGTAAGCTGCAGGTGCGAAGTGATCTAAAATAACCAGGCAAAATTTCCTAAAGTCATATATGTCAATGGTTTATAGTTGGTGCAGCAAAATCATGAATGACATGCAATACATGTCTTTATGTACTTTTTAAAAAATGGGAGGAATTCAAAACAGTGCTGTGGCAATAGTTCTGTCAGCGCAGGCATTTATTTCAACTTGCCAGATGGAATGATCCCATCTGCACTGTTTGGGGCACTCTCAAGACAAAAATTAGAATAATTCCATGAGGGATTAGAATTGTGAGAGTGGTGTTGTGGTTAGAGTCTTTGACTTAGACCTGGGAGACTAGGGTTCAAATCTCCCCTCAGCCAACTCTATGCATGTACATTGCTACATTTGTAGAACTTTCTGATGTACTGTGAACATGTGGGAGCAAGGGAGCATGGCAGTTGCTTGTGGCAGTGAAGGGCGGAGCTTATTCACATGACTCCATGACCCCCCCGCCCTTCGCACATGGAAGGTGTTGTATGAGCCCCCATATTCTCAGCAGTATTTTTATTTCTTTATTTTATTGTTGGTGGGAATCTATGGGTTTTACACCTCAGATGCCAAAATATATTGGGGTTAGTTCTGACACGAGCTGACAATGCAGGCCTGATTTTGAGTAACTCACACTTCTCTTTCTTGTGGGGATCCCATATCTCAGCAAACCACAGCTTTGATGCATTAATTAACTTATTTCTTGGCTCACATTTCTGCACAGTAAGTGAGAGTTAGTTAGCTGAATAAAATCCACTTTGATTTCTAAGTCTATCTGTCACTGACAGGAGGAGTCTGTGCCGCATATATAGTATCAGTATCTTGGGGGAAAGCATAGACGTGGAGGAGAGAATTCCCATTGATGTGAGTGGGTTCAACTTCATTTATTTCTGCAAAGTTTTATAACAAGGGAGCCTTTCATTGCCTCATTCATTTGCTTCTGCAGTGAAGTCCACTAATCAATATTTATCAGGTTTGCATTAATGCCAAGACTGAGACGGCAAACACTTTATTAACTAGATAGATGGGTTGCCAACTTGCATCGCTTCAGGTATTTATTGAATCTTTGTACTGTTCTGTGTTTTTGTTTTGTTTTTTTAGAAATCCCTTAAGCTACACCTGTAATTTACACCATGCATTCCAGTTTACACACATGACAAAGCTGTTTCTGGACTGAAACAAGCAAAAGCACCCGAAACCACAGTTGAATATGGTATTTTGTTGAATATGGTTGTCCATTAAATTATTCCCTAATTTGGGGAAATACTAGCATATCAGTGAGGAATTTAGACTAGAGTCCTGGCATCTGGTTTTCTTTTGGCAGCGATTTATATAGGAGCAGCATTCACCCATGTTATTCCTGCAACCAGAAGACGTAAGAGTCCAAGTTCTACCTCATCGGTTGTGTATTTAGACTTGGGACAAATGTGATGTGTCATCCAAGTGAGGCTCAACCAACCTCTTTCCAACTATTGTCCCTTTTAGGGCAGGACTACTTCCCATCTGATACA